TCATTCGCATAAGCACCTTTTTCTATACACGTGCTTCCTATCTAAGAAACATTCACAAAGGATGCATTGGATGGAGAGCAACTTGGGTGTTCCAACAATCCAGGCTCTTAATATCTTGTCAGATATTTGGCACACAAACTAGAGCAACCAGGGATTAAACTAGCAACCTTCCGATTAGCAGATTACCTGCTGAGCTACAGCCACCCCAACTACAGAAACTATATGCATAGATATCTTAAATGGCACACCAACCTGTATGAGATTAGCTCTAGGAATGTTATCAGCTGGTACCCGTGATTTGCCTGCCAGAACTAACCCTACGGTTGACAAGCTATACCCCATTACCTTCACCTGCCATAACTGTTTCAGTGTAAAAAATCAGGGTCATGTCTTCTTCAAATAAGCATTCTGCTAGCTCTTTGGTCATCTAACTTGCTTCTTTGTTTAGTCAGATGTGGAATTAGAAGCACATTGTGATTCATTTCAGGGTTAACTAGTGTTCCCCTCACCTGTTTCCTCCTCTGGCATTAGAGGCTTCTGTGGCTTTTGGCTCACTTTTCAAATTAAACCACACAGCTTTTATATCCCTGTTGCATCTGTAAAGATCCTGTTTTTCAGAGTACAGTGTGGCCTGGGGCAGGCAGCATTATTTTGTGCCAGCGGATATCTGGATGATGTTGCACAGTCTGTCCATCCGGGCTAAATCTGAAAGGCTTAATGCCACAACGTGAGGGAAAAGAAAAAAAGATTCTTCCTACCCTTGTAAATTCCTTAGCTGCTCTTTAAATTATTCATGTATGGCAGTTTAAGCAAACATTTTGTACGGAACTCATTAAAACTCACACCTGAAAGCTGCATTTCAACCAAAACCATCCACTGTTAGCTACTCCGGGTAGTTGTGGCTGTAATTTCCAGCTGTTAATTATATAAGAGAGGATTCAGTTACTCAGGTGTTTTATTCTTAAAATAGGTTTAAAGTGGGTGAAGAAAATACATTCAGTAACTTGCACAACATTGTGTCTGAGTGAAGTAGCTAAAGTCTCTGTTGTTGTTGTCTAAAATGGCTTTCTGTGTACACAAGTTACTACATAATTTTCATTGTGGGGATCCCCTTCCACAGTAACAGGAACCTTGTTGTTTCTGGAGAGAGGTTTTTTTTGAGCATCCACCCTGAGGATGTGTTGCTGTTCTACTGACCAGGGAGATTATTACTGAAAAGTTACTCTTCCTGCTGCTGAAGAAATGGACTGAGGCCAAGACACTGAGCGATCAGCTGCAGGGTTACTGTACAGAAAAGAAAACACCTGTTTCAGTCAACAGCCTGCCAAGTGTATCTAGATGACTGAGGCAAGGAGTTACAAATAGACACAGCTGAGGGGCACAGTGTGAAACAAGGCAGGTGATTTCTGTTATAACATGCAGACAAGAGGACTGGGCACCCAAAATCCAACCAGACTCAGCTTTCAGCTTGTTTGCTTCAACTTTTATTTTTTAATGATTTGAAAAAGAAAATTTGAGCAAATTCAGCTTGACATTGTGATAATGCTTGAATGTGTCACTGGAGCTACAGCAAGTAAAATAAGTATTGAACACATCACCAGTTTCCTAAGGAAATGTATTTCTAAAAGGTGTCATAATTACCATGTAACAGCATTAACCTGAGGCTACAGCCCTACACACCAGCACAAATCTCTATCCAAATGAAGACACGTGTGAGCTTACGTGTGGCTGATTTCACCACAAATGATGGCTCACTTTATCACGGTGCTGTGCAGGGGTCCGCATTTACTCAGCTTTAACATCACCCTGGGCTCTTGGCTAGCTTAGCGTTAGCATGCCGTCTGTACAGGTGCCTGCAAAGAGCCAAACTTATGTTAAAAGTATAATGCAGTTGTTTCTGTCCTGGAGCGGTTTCCACTTTACCATCACACTCTCATCCTTGTGCAATAAAAAAAAAAGAAAAAGTAATGTCTATATCTATGCTGCAGACTGCAACACTATTTTCCTCCTACACACAAACTAAAATCAGCAAAATGTAACGAGACTGCAAGAACCGATAAGCGGGATCAATAGGCAGGCAAAATAACGATTCCAAGGAATTGGACTACTGTGAGCCATTCCCTGGGAATCCCTGATAACAACTGAGAGTTTCCCTGGCAGTGTGTTTGGGACGATCTTCCTTCTAAAAAGGTCCACCCTCATTTCAACATCATCATCATCATCATCATCCTGGTAGATTGCTGCAGATTTTTTTAATCACAATATCCTGGTACATTTTTCCATTCCACCTTCCTTCAATTACGTGCCAGTGCCGTATGCTGAAAAACAGCCCCACACCATGGTGCTCCCACCTCTAAACTTCAGTTATGTGAAATTGTTTTGGGGTTGATATCCAGTGCCCTATTTTCTCCAAACGTGGTGTGTATTACGGCATCCAAAGAGTTTAATGTTGGTTTCATCTGACCAGACTACATTCTCCCAGTATTTCACAGGCTTGTCTTAATGTTGTTCAGCAAACTTTAAACATGCTTCAACATGCTTATTCTTCAGCAATAGAGTCTCGCGTGGTGTACGAGCACACAGGCCATGGCGGCTGAATGCATTACTTATTGTTTTGTCTTTGAAACAATTGTACCTGCTGATTTCAGATCTTCCTGTAGCTCCCCACATATGTTCCTTAGCTCTTAAATAACACTTCTGATAACTCTTTTCATTCTTCTTGCTGGGAGCACCTGGTTGTGGTCGTCACAGTGAAATTATGTTCTTTCCAACTCCACATTATGGCCCCAACAGTGCTCACTGGACCCTTCAGTAGTTTAGAAATTCTTTTGTAACCAGCACCATCAAGGCTACAATGGTCTGCTCAGTAACTTTATCACTCACAAGCAGTTTCTTGTGTAACACCTGGGAATGAGACCTTTTTATAGGCCAATCAGTTGGGACTGAAGCAGCTGATTTTAATTTGCAAAAATTGGCAGGATTGCTTTCTAATTACTAATAGATTTCAGCTGGTGTCATGACTTTGCATGCTTTGTTACGCCTCCCTTTCTTCATGTGTTCAACAGCACATTTAGAAATACATAGAAAATTGGTGACATGTTCAGTACTTAATTTACTCGCTGTATTGACAATTCTCTTTTTAGCAGAGTTGACTGAACAGTTTATAAAGCAATTAACTAATTAGGAGTACAGTAGCACACCCTCATTCACAAAAAAGTTGAGAAACTCTATGAAATGTAACAGTAACAGAAGACAAATATATCTAATTTCATTAGTATTTATTTATTTATTTTATTATTTTAACAGTTTGCATAATATGTGTTTGTTAAAACATCTTCTGTGCTCAGATTATATCAAACCAATCATCTTCAGTTGTGCTTGGCATTTCGGCACTTGCTGTATCAGGCATTTCCTAAGCTTAACCTTAGAGGTTTTCCTGTTTCACATCTTTGTATCTTGCTTGGTTTTCCACCACTGTATGGAAGTGCAACATTAAATTACCATTTTAATACATTCTTGTACTGAACCATTTCATTGTCACTGTAGAATACATACAGCATTAATGTTTGACATCTGCTGTGGGCTTTTCTCAAATGGTAACATGAAGTTTATCAGGCAGCATTGGGCAGTAGATGGGGCTTTTGAAGTGCTGCTAATATCGGCTGCAGCAAACTTTCAGGTTAGCTACTGTTAATTAAAAGTGTGCTGGAGTGAAAGGACTGTGACAGCTTTTGTTACAGTACCACATTCCTTGTTCTGGGAATGTGTATGTATGCTCTCATGTAAAGGTAGTTAATATTCTCAGAGTGTGATCAACTGTATAAATTCTGCTGTCATGCAACATATAAAACAAGATTTTAAAAAAGTCAGAACTTGAAAGATCAGAAGCTTTCATACGAACCCAAAATATAAGAAGACATATACATATATGGGGTGACCGTGGCTCAGGGGGTTGGGAAGCGTATCTGTAACCGGAAGGTCGCCGGTTCGATCCCCGGGCTCTCTGTCCTGGTCGTTGTGTCCTTGGGCAAGACACTTTACCCTACCGCCTACTGGTGTTGGCCGGAGGGGCCGATGGCGCGATATGGCTGCCTCGCTTCTGTCAGTCTGCCCAAGGGCAGCTGTGGCTACAACTGTAGCTGCCTCCACCAGTGTGTGAATGTGAGAGTGAATGAATAGTGGCATTGTAAAGCGCTTTGGGTGCCTTGAAAAGCGCTATATAAATCCAATCCATTATTATTATTATTATTATATAAACACGTACATTCAAAAATGCACTCACACCGGGAGATGGAGAGAGTAAAAAGAGAGTTGTGGCAGGATGTTGAGAACTATACTTACATGCTTCCTGTAGACGTAAACATACAGTAGGTGTCTGCCCCTTTGATTTAAAACGTCAAGTGATCACAGGGTGTTTACATGAGCTTTAGATCTACATCACTGCACACTCAGAACATTTTGCGATATGGCAACACACTATGCAAATGCTAATGCAAATTCTTCATGTAGATATAATTTTTTTTTTACTGTACATGTTGTTAAATAAAACAGTTTAACCGTTTTATTAAGTTTAGGCATATAAAACTGCATACAATAAATACTTTCTTGGTAATTACTTGCACAAGGATTAGCATCAAGCACCCTCACCCTAAAATACTTACCTTTTTGTCTTGATTAGACAATGATTAGTCTATAGTTCCACATCAAGAAGCTCTCAAGTGAATATTTAAGACATGTCAAACAGAGTTGTTGTTGTCAAATAACTCAGTAAGAAGCAAAGTTAAGTAACACCAGACTTGTTAACCAACTCATGGAGCATTGGGTTGATTTTATATAAGCCCACATATATACAACAAGATATTCTAGTAAGAACAAGGAGTTAGCTTTTGTTTCAATAACTGGGTTTTTGTTACATTTTAATGCAGTCACATGTGTATTCTATGAAGCATAACTGTCATTAACTAAAATATCTCTTCTTCTCTCTGTTCTTTCTGTTCCAGAGGGCACCTAGACCGGTTGTTCTCCTGCCGAACATAGTGCCTCATATCCACCAGGAGCCTGTCACCCTTATCTGTGTAGGCCTACTGCTGATACTGATTGGGCGATGGATTTGGATACAAGGCAATACAAACACCCAGGACACCCAGGTTTAAAATGAGAGTGGTAGACCTAGAAACCCGGCAGATGTAGCATTTTTTTACTAACTGTTTTTGGATCTACGTTTTTTGGGGGGGGAACTCGTTTTTAGCCTCTACTCTCTGCTTTTCCATTTGCAAAAAAGACTGCTTTTGTCTCCTGGAACTCTAATCCTTTTTTGTGTTTGCACCAATGTTTTTCCGTCATGGCCTCAAAGATTTTGTGATGCTACCAAAGAGGCAAGATTTTGCAATTCTTTGTGGGCAGGGGCAGTCGCAATACCTTAATATGCCTCTGCAAAATGACGCCTATGGAAATTCAAATGTGCCTTGAACAGTTTCTCGTTTACTTCGCTAGCTTTCCATACAATTTTTTTTTTGTACAAAGATAATGTTCTCCCCAGGTCAAAATATCTGTCAAAATGGATGACTTTGGTTTGGAATTGCACCTGCATCACATTCATTGCCATCATGCAGCAGACTCAGGACCTCTGTAGGAATCAGCCGGACCAGACTTGCATCAGTATCCAACATGTTTTTAAAAATACTTGTGGCAGATTGACAGCACACCAGCATTTTAGAACTCAAATGAATTGGGTATTATGTTTTTCTTGAATCTATAATCTGGATTATTATCCCTTAAAAGGTACTTTTAAGTTACTGATATATAGCAGGAGACATCTGTATGAATCTTCATTTGTTTTCTAAACATATATAGCATAGAAATTTGTTGTCTTCTAAAACTGCAAAATTGATGTTTTATCACTGTGTTTCATGACTACTTTAACAACAATTGGTACATAATATACAGCACAACCTGATAATGAACTGAGCCCACCCAAGTAGATTTTACCATCTGCATCTTTTAGACTTTATCAAAAAACCCTTAATCATAACACAAGATGATATTGAACCAACTTCCTGCAGTAGTAGATACAAGTCTTCCAATCTCCACTAGAGAACTCAAAAATGGGTTATACCACCAAATACTATCTGTGTACATGGCTTCCTACAAGATGACATCAAAATGCAATAACAGTTTTCTTCTTTGGTCATTTTGTATTCAGCATTAAAGCAAAGAAAAAGAGTGTGTTAATAACCAAAATCTGAATGTGAGTGTTCCATTTTTGTTTAATAACAAAATTGGAGGAATTGTTACTAAGTTGAAATCCAGTTAGCAGAGTGGTGTTGATGAACAAAGTGAACAACAAAACTATTAAATAGTGTCATTTCACAGTGTCTTGTTTATGCATTATGCAACCTTTAAATTTAAACTAATCAACCATTACTGTCTTCCACCTTCTTCGTTAAGCATCTGGTTTTACCATTAGCAGGCAGAGTGCAATGGTTTCTTGACAAGGTCACGATATCCGTATATTAGCACAGTGATTCAGACCTGGCCAAGTCTCCATACGCTTGCCAGGTCATTAAATAGTTAGTTTGAGTTTTGGACAAACACCAAACATTGAATAGTGCAAGTCAAAGACTCTTAAATAACTAAGTGATTAGCGAACAGCGGAAATAGAGGCTTCAGATTAAAAACATGTATTTGTATCTTTGAACTCTTGATGCCAATGAAAACCTTTGTTGTGTTATAATGTAAGAATTCATGATCCTTAAAAAAATAGATATTGGGTTATGTTACGAAAAAATAAATGTTACCACTTAATCCTGATTAAATCTGAAGTAAATACAAACAACTGAGTACACTTGTCTGTGTTTACAAATATCAGAATTTACTCCCATTTGAATGTTGAGGGTAAATATAAATCAGTCCATTTTCTTGACTTTGAACATTGTTTGCTATCTGAATATAATGTGGTGTCAATGGATTATGCAAAAATACATTTAACCGAAGCACTTTATAATACCAAAAGTGCATGCTTCTACTAGGAAAGTTGAAGGAATCAACTGTGCACTACAGTTTATTGGAGGTGCGAAACCAAATCAACCAATACTTCTTATGTTCTGATTCATGAAAATTAGAGAAAAAGACACAAAGATAGAATTCCCGCTCTGTTTAACTGGCTTTTTTGAGAATAATCACAACATCCCTACCTCCTTTAAAGCATGGTGCACAGCCAACTCCTTGAACTTTTCTGACAAACTTTACCAAGCAAGCAGACTGACTAGGTTTGGTTGGAGTAGTAAGCATTAAACACTGTATTTCAAAGGTCCAATGTGAACACTGACCAATTATATTTGTGTACAACTCGTGTTTTCCATGTTGGTTTGAATGGTACAAGTTGAATATTCCCAAATTCATTGACATAATATACGTTAACTTGATCGGTACCAATAATAATAAAATGACATTGCCTAGTGTGCATGTTTGTTTAAGCATGGCACAAACAAAAATAGGGAAGTATCTTTTATGCCCCCGTGAGCAACCTTGGAGATGTACTGTGCTATTATGTGTGATACATGTGTTTGATTTAAAACTTCAGAATTAACGTAGTTCAATCACTGTTGACGACTCCCTGTGAGGTTAGCCCAAAAGTTTGTTGTAACACAGCAATAATCAAATGTACGTTTGCACAGTTGTGTCAACACCACTGAAAATCACTGATACATTAATGTGCTGGTATTTATCACTGCTACATAAGAATTTCAGCTACTCTGTCAGCTGTGTAATCTTACATTTTAATAGCTATTCATCAGCTATAAGTAATCATTTTCAAGCTTTCTCCTATGATATGATGAGATGGTTTAGGACTGGTCACTAATTGAAGGTTTTGCAGGTGTTATCTAAAGATATTTAGCATTACTTGTAGTGGATAAAGTCATTAGAATAATCTGTACTTGTATTGTTAAAAATCCACTTCTGACAGCAGTGTCATATAGATTATATTTGTCATATAAACATCACCGTACACATCTGGCTTATTGGTACAAGATTAAAATAAAAAATCGCAACAAAGAGACATTAATGGCCATAAAAAATACATTAAAAGATACAAAGAGATGTAACATAACCACAGAAAACCACAAAGAGCTCTTACCAATGTATTGTTTATTTCCGAGAACCACATTTGTCCACTTATGTTAGCAAAACTGCCACAGCGCAACCTAAACAGAAAACGCAAAAGCTGTTTTACACTACTTTCTGTTTCTGGTTGTATTTCCTCTTTGTTCTATCTTTTCCTGTTGGAGTAATGTATTGCATACCATGTAACCTTTCTGATTTGTCTCTGTTTGGAATTGAACACGTTCCAGGTGTGTGTTCATGTGCACCAAACCTAAGTGCTTTTGCTTTTGTCTCTGCTGTGACACTGAGATCGCTGTAACTGCGTGTTGATTTTTGATATCGTGCCATGTGAAACCTACAACCTCATTTTGAAGTACTGTATTACAGCTGGAGTGTGAGAGAAGAGCATGGCAGGGAGGAAACTGAAAGATGAATTAACGGCTTATGAAACTGATATGGAAACCTGGCAATGTGCAGATTCTCCGCCTATCATTTGTAGGTGTTAGAGCACAGAAACACTTGTATTACATTCAGGGTTTTACTGACTCGCTTTAACCCTGCTCAGGCTGCGTTCGCATATTGTGCTGTGCTCTTTGGGGCTTTAAGATAACAGCTATTATCTACATACAGTTATGTGAAAAAGCAAGTTGCAAGTTGTTAGCTTTTTTGGCATATCTTCAGTGCCGACTGATAAAGGTGGTCGACATGACAAGAATTTTTCAATCATGAATTTGACAAAAGCATGAACAGATGTAATGATGTGTGGAGAAAGAGAGTCACCGTTGGTCTTGGTCCCCTTCGGCAGAAATCATTTTTAGCAGGTGTTTTGTATAATTGTTATAACTGTCCTTGCTAAATGTCTAAAGTTGCAAAAGTTTTTAAGGGTTTTACTGATATTGCTGCACTTTTCTAATCCCCCCCATAACTTTTAAATGGGATCATATTTGGGTTGTTTTATATGACCTTTCATGGTTAATCAAATCCATAACCCTCAACATGTTCTTTTTGAGGCATTCCTTAGTAGACTGGCATAATTTATGGCACGTTTGGGCTGCTGAAAGGTAAACATATTTGCAGCTGAATCAAAGACTAGACGGGCAGGCTAGACAATAACCTAGGTGGGAAATCAACAGCAAAATTATTATCCACTATACTCCAGAATTGAAATTGCATAGGCTGAGAAGTTAAAATCTCCCCTGTTTCTGTTTGTTGTCTTGAGTTTTGTTTTGTTTGGGAATAGCAAAGGCTTTTTTATGAATGAATAAATACAGTTGAGGTCCAGTGATGCATACATGTTGATGCCAACAATTATAGGCGATACCTTCAGAGTTTGTGATTACAACTTTTAGATTTATGAAAACTTCAGTTTGCATCAGTCTGCCTTTGTTTGGAATTTAAGGTGGTTCTAAACCCTGGTTGAAATGTTCTGGTTTTTGAAGGTGTGACGAACACCTTTTCCACTCAAATTATTTACATGGAAAAATTACATAGTACATTTATCCATAGGCATTTTATGAAATGTTTAACAGATATGCCAAAAGAAGCCAGACTATTAAGACTATTCTCATGACAGGAAAATAAGATAAAAATAAAAAAATCAGTGGAATTGTTAAAAAGATAAAACACACAGTATAGTGGACCCAGAGACATAGCGGTTTATTTTGCTTTTGCTGAAAGTGCTGTACAGAAATGCATCTCTTGGATGGAGGTTGTTTGTGCAAGAACTGAGACAAACAATTCCAAATGACCCAGTAAAATTGTAGCAAATTTGTCTTTTGTTAATATTGTAACTGTACACTGAACATGTAATTATTGCTTCAATTTAAAATAAAGCTTTTTACATTCAATTTAATCAAAAAATCAGAGCAGTGTGATTATTTGTCAATACAAACCATCTTTTTATTCTAATTTGCATATGTTTGGTTATAGAAAGTTGTTTATTTGAATAAAATTTAGTTGTTAATATGAACAACTGTGAATGTGTAACCAATGTAAAGGTCAGACTTTGTTTGAGGCAGTCATGTGTACATTTTCTTTTTTAAAAGAAAACAGAATCCCCCTATTTTTCCCCAGTAGCCCATTTGCAGCTGAATTTTATGCATAAAGACTCTGACTTTGAGAGATACTTGTTTGCCATACTCAGCTGAAGGCTTTTATATCACATCCACACACATCCAATATGCTCACTTTATTTGGAAGTATTAGTGAAACATCTAAGTGAAGCATATAAAATCTCTTTATGTACATCTTTCAGAAAAGAAATTATAGAAGTAAAATATATTTTACTAGCAAATATATTTTATTTTTATGAGATCTGTATTTGATCAAACATCAGTTTGTTTATTGGCATAAAATCTCAAAAAAAAAGAAAGAAATAAAGTTGTTTCCCTTTCCTTTTGTGTGCGTGCGTGTGTTCGTGTGCTCATCTGCAGTACACGGAAAGTACGGTGCCTTCCAGAACTTGGCAAAAGCACATGCTCAGATAATTATATGTCTTCCACATTCAGACTCACATACACAACTCATTAACACACGCACACTTGGTCACACACACAAATGGTTTCTACACGCCTGCAGGCACACACACACACAGACACCAACACAAACACATTCATACACATGTGTGAGTCAGAACTGTAGTCCAGCCGGGGTGGATTCCTCCATCTGTAGAGAAAGAGAGAAGTAACAGTTTTAACTCTTAGTGGTTTGAAGGTAAGAGAACAAAAGGTGTCTAAAATGACTTTCATTATAGCAGGTTTGTGTTGCTCAAAGTTCAACTAAAATGAAAATGTATGACTGTTTTCTGACACAGCATACAGATCTGCTTTGTAAACATAATTCAGTATTATATGGTGTGCACTCTTTAGAAGTTCAACATGCACTTCAGTTGCACTAATGTCCTATGTACAGGTCAATGAATTGTCGTATATTTAGTGTTTAGTCTGTTTCGTAATCAGTACTACAGACTTTTGTTCTTTTGAGAAATTATTTTCCCTCAATGTTTTACATAGACCAGGAGTCCCCAATCCCAGCCCCACGAGGGCCGGTGTCCCTGCACGTTTTAGATGGGTCAACACACCTGAATCATGTGATTAGTTCATTACCAGGCCTCTGGAGAACTTAAAGATGGTTATTTATCCATTTAAATCAGCTGTGATGGATCAAGGACACACTTAAAACCTGCAGGGACACTGGCCCTCGTGGACTGGGATTGGGGAACCCTGACATAGACACACAGCACCGACAGAAGTTACAGAGTCAGACTTAACTTATCAACAAAGTCTTGATTGTATTTTTTGTTTCTAAAAGAAGAGAATGAATTGGCTCTTCGGAGTGTAATGTGGTAAAGGAATGCTTCACTTTTTGTAACGCTGGTTTCAGTAGTTTTAACAAGGAAGTAGCATTTTGTGTATTGCACCTGACCTGATAAAAGTGCTATCACTTACCTTCAGTATGAAGGTACAGTGTCTGAAGATAATTATTTAGACTGCGCCAACAGTGATTCAGGACAGTCACTTTAATGGTTCAAGTAGCAACTGGTTTGTGGGAAAACAAGTGTGCTCTTGTTTTTAAAATTTGGATTATGCACCACTAAAGTCCAAGTATCAACAGCCATGATTCATTATCTCTTTATGCCTCATCTCAGTTTTATAAGGCAGGTCAAGGTCTTCATCGTTACATGACGTATTCTTAAAAATGTTTGTGTAATCAAAGAACCATACTGCAATT